AAATTAGCACATTAACAGCATCTTGTCTCAGAAACTGAAATACTTTGGCCATTTCAAGTGCAAGGGTGGACTGGAATGAACAGTAGTGGAGGGCATAGTACCATGTAGGAGGGGTACAGGACAAAAGACACTCGGAGTGTGCATCAGGCAGGATTTCTGGCCAGGGACTACGTTACCACTGGGCATGCTATAATGGAGGCAATGTTTTGAGAAAAAAAAAAACCTGCTACGTATGATGATCGTGATCGTGATATGATGAGTTTGCTTACTATACTGTCTGCTCTATATACCCTTGTCACACTGATCATAAAACAGACTGCTGACAAATTGACTGTAGTCTAATGAAAAAGTTTTTTAAAATTCAGAATTACAATTCACATTTATAAACCCTAAGCCATAGATGCCGACAAAATAGAACACAGGCTTCATAATAATGCTGGTTTTCTCTAAACTTGTCATTATAGTATTAAACTGTTTTTCTATACACTTCTAGTTGGTCTCTTCAACAGCCTATGTACAGATTATAAAGTACAGTTAGTAATGGGTCAGAAGACAACATATCACAAACATATTTTTTTGCCATATGAGAAGCCTTGGCTCCCAGGTCAACCCAGCCTTGAGTGGGTACCAGGTACAGTCCTGGGAAGTAAAGGCAGCTGGCATGATACTGCCCACATCACCCACCAAGTGCTGTTTGGTCTATAAAATATAGATCTAGCCCTATATACCCAATACTCCTTAAAGGCGTGGAAAAGGGTCTTTTACTGTATGAGAAGAGGGAAACCTGAACATATTGTGACCATTGGAAAGATTCCTGGAACAGATGGAAGATGACAATGTGAGATGATTCTTGACAACCTTATGTCACGGCATAGACAACACATTAACTGATGCCCATGTCTGTTGGCTAGTCTCTTGATGATGATGAATGAGCAACAACCTTACCACATGATATGAACAAGTACTTAAATGCTCAGTTCACACAAACGTTTTTATTTTGGCTTTATTAATATCCTCATTTTTATCAGCAATAACAGAAAAGTACTGTGTAATGCCTTTAATCAGCAACTCTCAAGGACACTAACAGAACACTAAACTGATTAGCAACAAACATAAAACAATTCTCTGAAGTTCTCTCCTCTGTCTTCATTATCTTTACCCTTTCAACAACAAAAAAATTGTTGAAGTGATCTTATCTTGCCCTACTTCTGCAGTGTCCACAAGGTTATTATTGTTCCTTTTCTTCGTGCTGGTTCAGGGCCCTATTTTGGGGGGAAGGAAGGGGGAGGGAGAAGACCCACTGCTCCTTAACAAGCATGTTGTCAAAGGCGATTAATTGAGGGTTGAAATTGAATGTGGTGGGCTGAAAGCACAGCCTAACTAAACCAACCCAAGAGTGACAGGCTGAAAGCACAGCCTAACTAAACCAACCCAAGGGTGGTGGGCTGAAAGCACAGCCTAACTAAACCAACCCAAGGGTGGTGGGCTGAAAGTACAGCCTAACTAAACCAACCCAAGAGTGACAGGCTGAAAGCACAGCCTAACTAAACCAACCCAAGGGTGGTGGGCTGAAAGCACAGCCTAACTAAACCAACCCAAGGGTGGTGGGCTGAAAGTACAGCCTAACTAAACCAACCCAAGGGTGGTGAGCTGAAAGCACAGCCTTTCTAAACCAACCCAAGGGTGGTGGGCTGAAAGCACAGCCTAACTAAACCAACCCAAGGGTGGTGGGCTGAAAGCACAGCCTAACTAAACCAACCCAAGAGTGACAGGCTGAAAGCACAGCCTAACTAAACCAACCCAAGAGTGACAGGCTGAAAGCACAGCCTAACTAAACCAACCCAAGGGTGGTGGGCTGAAAGCACAGCCTAACTAAACCAACCCAAGAGTGACAGGCTGAAAGCACAGCCTTTCTAAACCAACCCAAGGGTGGTGGGCTGAAAGCACAGCCTAACTAAACCAACCCAAGGTGCAAATCTCCTGTTTAACTGAGAGCAGAAAACAACTGTTCCTCTGTCAGTTATAAAATAATAATAAATATTGTTTAAAAAAAACTAAACTCATATCACTGCAGTCAGTCTCTGTTCAGGTTCCGGGGCCTCATTGTGGGAAAAACAAGACGAATAGACCTACTGCCTCCCCATCAAGCATGACTTAAGGGTCAACTAACTGGAGGTTTTCTTCGAAGTTGGAGGGCATCTGCCTTAGAGGCAAGGAACCAACAGTCCGTATACAAATAAGTCTGTAAAACTAATGTTCACGCAACACTGGGGTTCTGGAAGAAGACTAAAGTCTAGAGGTGGATCAACAACCAGAACTTTTCGCCAGAGTTTACAGCCGGTGAACGCAAAGAAGACTGCAGTCAGGAATTCCCATCTGTCCCCTTCTTCAATAGCCAGTGAAGAGTTCCCCTGCAGATGGACCAGCTGCAGTCTTTTTTTAAACTTACAATTTTCATCATTGTCTCGAGAGGGAAATAGCCACTCTAGTTCATTACATCATGACCCAGAATATGTTGAAACCCAACAGTCAGCACTTCAATGGCAATATATCCATGGGATTTTATTTCTTGTATCATCATCATCAAGTGTCATGCTAGTGTGCGCAATCAAGCCTCTAAACATATCAATAAAGTAGCTAAATAGAGTTTAGTTAGGCTGTGTTTTCTGCTCCTTTCAGTCCCATCACATCCAATTTCAAGTGCTAAAAATATCAACTGGAAAAATTAAACAAATTTGAAAATATTCAGAATAAACCTGCTCCTTGACTTGAAACATCGTCATCATCAGCTTCCTCTTCTGCCATTAGGCGTTGTGGGGAGGAAAATTTTGTGATCCACTGCTTGATGGGCAACAATGGTTATTGTAATTCTGTGTCGATGTAGGAGCTCTTTAACATCATCAATCCATGTTCTCCTAGTGCGGCCTCTTGCTTTCCCTTCAGATATTTTCATGTGTAGTACCTGTGTTGGTATGTTCTGGCTGCATTCTTACTAGATGACCAAAACCATTTTTTTAGTGTCCTCCGTGAATATACTTCTTAGATATTAAAATTCTTTAACTTGCTTCAAACAAGTACCATTTAACCTGATATGTAGCTGACTAGGAATTCTTCTGACCTGCAATACTGGTAGTATTTATTTCCATGTTATATTTTTTGCACATTGGACTTAGCCTGTTTAAGTGGTCATGTAGTCACTACTTTTAAAGCTTCTTTAAATGGTTAATATTGAAGGCAACATTTAAAAAAAAAAATTTTTTTAAGCCAGTTTTAAAGTAAAATCATCTTTTTACTTTAAAACTGGCTTCTTTTTATTCCCTTTGATATTGCCTTCAAGAAGTACTCTGTAGGGTACTGGAAGATGAGACCAATCTGTATATCAGAGCTGGCATTTGCAGACGATGTGGCCCTGATAGCTAAATCAGAGGCACACCTTCAGTCCAACTTACTTGTCTGGAAGGAAGAGCTTGAAAAGAGAGGGATGACCATCAGTATCTCCAAAACTAAAACCATGGTGATCTCAAGAGAGGAGAAGAAACACCAGATCATGATGGGACAGTATGCAATGGAGCAGGTTAACCAGTTCAAATACCTTGGAGTTGTATTAGACCGAAACGGAGGCATTAAGACTGAGCTGGCTACACGAAAAGCAGCTGCTGGGAGAATCTTCTGGGCCATAAACCGAGGGTTTCTTAGCAAAAGAGAAATTGACAAGAGGACGAAAATGGCTGTTTACCGCTGTACCTATGTACCAGTCCTGACCTATGGGTGTGAGTCATGGGCAATGACAACAGCTCACAGAAGCCAGCTGCAGGCCTCGGAAATGAGATATCTGAGAAAGGTGGTCCAAGTGACAAGAAGGGACAGTCTGCAATTAGACAATACGTCAAGATCTTGATACCCAGTCCTTACAAACCCGAGTGGATCAGTCACAGTTACAATGGTTTGGACATGTATGCAGAATGGGAGAAAATCAGCCACCGTGGCAAGCATGGGAGGCTAAGAACCTGGGAACCAGACCTCCCGGACGACCCAGGGTGCGCTGGGAAGACAACATCCGACAGTCATTAACTGACAGAGGACTGGAATGGAACAAAGCCAGAAAGAAAACTGCTGATAGAAGACGTCTGGCGATCTCTCTGGCAAACCTCTACACCCCAAGGTAGAAGAGGAGCGACTAAGTAAGTTGATATTGCCTTCAATATTACCCATTAAGTATTACAAACAATTATAACACTGAATATTTAAAAACAATTATTTCTTTCATAATCAGGCCACTGACAATAAGTTTATTAATTGTATATATCTATATATATATATATATATATAGTCTACATCCCCAAACTATGTCTATACCACTCTTCTGTTACATTCATCTTTTCTAATGCAGTGGCTATTATTTCAGTTCACTGAAACTCAAAGGCTGCCATTCTAAAGTATAAACAAAATACAAAGTGTTTACACTTTAGCAAGGCTAGGGCTATTCAACTAACTTAACACAGGGGTCAAAATTTTGAAAATGGTGAAAGTCACAGGCCCGAGGTCTGATCACCAGGACCAGGATGATGAAAATAGCAATGATATGCCATTTGGCCTGCTGGCTGCCATTTGAATAGCCCTGTGTTCAGGTACCAATGGCCTGGTGCTGAGACAGTTCATATGTCAGATAGGAGGTTCCAAACACTTGTAGTTGTCTTTGACTGCTGGCTCCAAACTTTCGACAGGTGTGAACTCAAGCTTGTAGCAGTCCTAACTGAAGCATGACTGATAATTTAAAACATTTGATGAAAACAGTCACAAAAATCAGCAGTCAACTCTAGACCCTCCTTGTCTTCTAGCAACATGTTGTCCTCAACCAGTGAATAAATAAACGTAAGATTAGGAATCTGGCTGTTTGTCTCTCTTCTCACTGAGATTTCTGTAGTTTCATTTATTGCTCTTTCACCCTTTAGTGTCTGCAGTCATGCTTTTGTTTCTGCTAAGTTAAGAGACGCCTTATATCAAGACTGATCAAATAAGGATAATGAAAAGTCCAAATCTAAAGTAGTATTATCAGCAGAGTTTGTCTTTGATATTACAACATCAGGATGACTTTCTGACTGCTCTGTTTTGGCCGACTGATCTGTTTTGGCTAACCGTTCTGTTTTAGCTGAGTTCCTCTTCTTTTTCCTGCTCTTCGTGTTTAATTGTGTGCCAGGTTGGTCTTCAGGAAACAACTTCACAAGTTCATGAAACCTGTATGGGGACAAGATTTACCAATGAGGCATGATGAGGCAATATTTCAAGGATTAAATAGTACTGGTAAAATACATCAGTTTTATAGGCTGTCTACACAATAAAGAACCCAGTATAGGAGTTACAAGACAGTTCGTTATCTGGAATTCACAGGGTAAGAGAAATATAGGGAGACCTTAGAAACTGCAGAATTAGATTACACACATCGTGTAGGAAGTCTTTTGGAGAATGCCACACTCCCATCACCACTTGCTCAAAAGCTTCTTGACCTTCTTAATTTCTCTGTATAATATATTTTCATACATAAGATATCTCTAATGTATACATTTCTTGCTGGGTGACCCCTCATTTTTTTTTTCCTGGAACTATATCTTTAGCTTGGGTTGTTTGTAAACCACTGGAGTGTTTGATATGGCCAAAGTATTTCAATTACCACAACATGGTGTTGCTTATGTAATTGTATACGCAAGACAGAGACATGCACACAAAAGAGAGAGAGTGTGTGTATGTGTGTATAATATGAGCAAAGAAACCTTTTCCACGCTTTCAGGTGTACTGAGCATATTGTGCTAGATCTATATTTGATAGATCAATTGGCACATGGAGGGTGAAGTCGTCATTATGTAGGGCTTTACCTGGTCTCCTTTTAAGGTTGGGTTGACCTTAAATTTAAGGCTGGCTCGACCTGGGTATCAATGTCATTTTTAAACCCATGACCTTCGGATCTGCAGGCGAGCATCTCGTTGCTTTATTTTATTTCAGCTTCAAAATATATGTATATATACACATCCACATATATATATTGCTTTGACTGTTAGAATCAAAGTTTCTAGCATACACATAAATCAACACTAATGCACTGTAAGAAAATTATTCATTTGATCCAAACATCAATGACTATCGTGAACTGATAGATAAGGAGTTTGTACTGGTGCTGTAGCTACCTTAGATCAGACATACAGGTGCAAATCTACTTATTTTATAAACTAATATTCACCATCATTACCCAGTACCTATCTACATCCCCATCTATAAGTCCACAGACTAGAATTAACAGTACACACACTCTGTGACAAAGGGCATGACATCAAATTCAAACAGCTACTAAAACCCACATACCTGTGTATCCTTGCAAAGTTCTCCTCCAGTTTTCTGTTGGCTGAGGCTGTTAAATATTTCAGGTACTGTAAAGTTGTAGTGAAAATTTTTATTTATGGACAATACCTTCAACATTGCTCATGTAAAACATCATGGACAATACCTTGCAATGTGCTCATGTAAAACATCATGGACAATACCTTGAAATGTGCTCATGTAAAACATCATGGACAATACCTTGAAATGTGCTCATGTAAAACATCATGGACAATACCTTAAAATGTGCTCATGTAAAACATCATGGACAATACCTTGAAATGTGCTCATGTAAAACATCATAGACAATACCTTGAAATGTGCTCATGTAAAACATCATGGACAATACCTTGAAATGTGCTCATGTAAAACATCATGGACAATACCTTAAAATGTGCTCATGTAAAACATAAAAGCCCCTGACTGATGTTATTTCTTTTTAACACACATCGTCAGGAGTCAGATCAATAAAGGGCATGACAGGGGTCATAGCTGTCACCAGATATGTTTTCATTAAACAGTGAATATATGAAATCTACAGAGGATATGTTACGGTGTCATAATCGATGTCACTGCACACTGGGCATTCTCATGCATGCTCAGTCTTGCAATACAGCAGCCACTCAAAGGTACGTCTACTGCCTGTTCCCATGAGAAGTTGGTTCAAATGTCCCCTATCTTTAACCCAAGGACATAATACATGCTGTTAGAGATAAGTTGTGAAGAAGCACAACACTTGATGATAATAAGTAAAGGACCCTTTTCCACACCTTTAGGCGTATAGGGCATATAGGGCTAGACCAATATTTTATAGAGAAATCCACACAAGATGGGTGATGTGGTCAGCATCACGTCGATCGCCTTTACTTCCCAGGACTGCACCCAGTACTCATTCAAGGCTGGGTCATTTTTGAAAAAAGTCCGGCTCCATCAGGGAGCAAACCCACGACCTTCTGATCCGAGGCGAGTGTCTAGCCGCTCCGCCGTGGCGACTCCCACTTGATGATAATGACGGGGGATAGTGTAACATTATGGTTAAAGTGTTTGTCTTGTGCAGCAAAAGGTTGTGTTCATTTTCTGAAGATCCCTTGGAATTGTTGCTGCAGCTAAAAACTCCTGCTCTGTACAGTAGATTGGAAAATTAGACATTTTTATATGTATATCCCTATATTACATTTATAAACAAGGAAGTAGCAAAACAGTTCCAACAAGTGGTGGTTACTTACATCATTTGAAACGAGAATTTTTCCTTCAGAAGATAAGGGCGCTTCAAGTGAATGGGTGCTTCTTATTGCCTGAAATTATGCATGAACATTTTAATTAGCCTGCTGATTTTTGAATGTAGGATCATAACAGCTACATTAAATGATGTTACCTCAGCAAATACCGCTTCCGTCACAGATAAGCATGACAAACACTTATACAGCTAACTGTCAACAGACTTCTGGTCAATATAGTGGACACCCTGGTTTGCAAGATAACTGCTTTAGATAACTGTCAGCCATTGCTTTTTCCTCCAAATGTGGATTAAAAGGATATAGTTCCATCGCCCAGCTACTGAGTGCATGGCCAACACTGACAAGTCTCCAAAGGGCTTAGTGTGAATGTTATTTATTCTCCTGGCCAGACAGCGATGGGATTTCTACAAGAAATACATCAGCTAAGTGATTTTGTGTATTCTTCATATTTGTGGCATTGTAGATTTATGTGTGTGCTGATAAAGGATCTCTAGCTGCAACGTTTACTTGTGCTTATGATAATGTTAAGCTGACTGGTTCTACTTTTCATTTGCTGGATAACTTTTAATGATATTTCTTGACTTGAGTTAGCTGAAGATATTTGCTTAATTGGCCGGATTGCCTGTGTGGGTTCTGAAGCTCAATTTGTTTAATAGATTATCCACTGCCCCTTAAAAATGCAATATAATGCTTACTCATTAAGGACTTGCTGATATCAGATGTTTTGTCCCAAAAGATACTACAGCCCTGCTGTAAATCAAAACACATCATCCCTTTAATGGAATAATGAAGAAGAAAGGCAAAAGTATGAGAAATGATTTAAACAAAGGAAGCAGCAAATATAAAGATAAGAATGAAAATATAAAACAAACCAAAAAGTTGAACAGGTCAGCTTCATATATTCATAAGCACAAACAACAAGTGAGCGCTGTGGGCAGATAGCCTTCATCAGCGCTTCAACCTAATATGTAAAAGTAACAACAATCTAACAAGATTACCTACAGTTATTATCTTCCCCTTTGTGCCAACTGTGATCCCAGAGTTGCGGAAACCTGCTGCCACAGCTGCTTGATGCTGACAGTAAGAGACAAGAGAATACAATAAGTAAACAGGCAGTGTCATGGTGTAAATGCAGAATTATTATATCATATCAGTACACCAGAACTGCTTGCGAAAACAAAAATGTCAAAAGAGAACACACACTTTTGAGTCTCAAGGACCGCATCATATGTTCAGTTTCCTACCTAGAAGTCCAATGAACGCAAGATGTACCGATTGTAGGTGTCTCTTGACTATCCATTGGGCCTCTGATGCTAAGCCCCCTGGGACTTGAAATGTTTAAAAAAAAAAGGTTAATAACTGACATCACAGCACTTGGCATATCCCTTTAAGTGTTTCTTCACTGTCTTCAGCAACCCTTGCAAATACCCAAATCTGGTGGTATCTGTAGCAGTCTGACTGTATATAAATAAACAAGCTTGTGAGAACAAACAATGTCATGGAGAACACACAGCATCATTAAAACCAAACATGTAACTGGTACCAGACCACATTTTGTATATAACAACTGGCAATTCGGTAAAATAGCAATATGCCACTTGCTTTTATCCAACCCCCCCCCCCCCCCCCCTCTCCCCTTTTGATCTGGTAGCCAAGGTCAAATATAAAAAACTTGAAATGATGCAGACTCAAACTCAAGACCTTCAGGCACCCATCTAGTCACTACAATGCAGCAGCTCTTACAACCATAAATGAAATATAATTATTATTTTTAATTAAACACTTTACATAGGGATTTTTTTTTCTAGGGAAAAAGATACCTGTACAGGGCACAAAGTGTCTAGAAAAGGTACTCACCAGAAAGTATCTACTACAGTAGCACCGAAAAAAAAAAATTATGCTGACTTTGCTATCGTTGTACCCTTCGCGTGAGGTACACATTAGACATATCTCTCATCAGAGTTTGACTCTATAAATGACTGAAATACATCTAATTCGCAATGTTATCCATCTAACTTTGGATAAATCAAATAAACATGTACTTTATTTAAATTTGAGGCTTCTAAAGCCGTAAATCATGCTGGCATGCCTGTAGAATACTGCTTGGTGGCCATATTCTTTTCAAACAAACGCTTAATAACCTGGTAAACTCGCAAATATACTATATTTTCAGCTCTCAGACGTTTTAAAATGAGCATGCCTGATATCAGACACAAAGAACTTGAAAAGAAGTTGAAATTGAGTGGTCTGCATTTTATGACTGGTCAGCGGTTAATGTAAAACCTTCACTTGTCACACGTCGATTGGGCCTGGCGGTTGTAACAAATTAGCGCGTGTTGCGTTCCCTGGGACTCAAAGAGTTAATCCACTCTATGCTTTGACTTTGCAGAGGATAAGTTTTTAACTACACAAATATTATAGGAAATAAATGATGTTACTTAAAATTCAAACCCTATAGGTATACCCTGCGCTCTGGCAGATGATGTAGGCACTCATGTCTCTCCAAAGACATCGGTCCTTGACATTCTGAATCAATTCCACTGATGATATTCTCCCATGTCACCGCTTCAGACCATCAAGTTTCATCTCTCTTTTAGTCTGCCCCTGCCACTTTTGACCTTTCCAACCATCACAATGTTCTCTAATGCCCCTCTTTCCTTGCTGGATCTATGGAGACTGTGCTTTGTGTGGTGCTCGCAGCAGGCCATTCGGCACACTAACAAAGCCGATATAGGATACAGCACAGTGCTTTCAAGCTGACCCTCTTGACTTTACAGACCTCAGTAACACCAATATACAACATTCAGGTTAGTGATAACAAAAAACCACACAACAATATTACCATTCTTCGTGCATCCTCCAAGCTCTGACACTGAACATGCATCACCATGGGCTCAAATTTAAAGACCGCTTCCCCAGTCAGATCTTCTACAGCATTTTCCTGTTGCAGTTAATTGAAGAAATATTTTCATTTTAAATCTGGCTGTAATTGGTTGTCTTTATTTAATTTGTTTCTCCTTTATCTAGTTCTTTGTAATATTTTTTTTTAACCTGATCTTAAATAATGCTATCCAAGTTAAAATATTTTTTCTGACTGCATCTGAAAGTGGATTCACGGGAACAGGATGCCACTGACTGTGTTGCATGGAGCGGAAAAATCAAGTAGGGGACAAGGATGAAGGAGGAAAATGTTTGTTGTAATATCTGCACTTTTTGGCTCAACATATCCATTTTCAGTCATCCCTAATTAGTTGCCTTTTATGACTTGCTTGATAGGGCAGTGGTGGGTGTATTCCCCCCCACATATCATTCCCAATACCCACAGAGAAAAAGGGTCATATGAAAAGAAATGAAACACTATTAAATTACATTTCAGTAGCATGCGGCTGAATGTACTACAGACTGGAGTATACACGCTACAGAACAGTAATCTCATCCTAAAAAAGAATACTTAAATATAATAGTAGGCAACTACTGTATATGTAACACACTGAATTAACTAGTTTAAAGTAATAACTACAGGCATTCAAAGAGACATAATATGACATTTATTTAGGAATTAAAATACAGATGGTGAACAATCACTCTTTTTGTTAATCTTCTTCTTCTGCTGCGCATTCACTGGCTGTAAACTCTGGTGGAAAGTTCTCGTTATTCATCACTTTCTCGACTCTAGTCCTGTTCCAGAACCTGAGTGTTGCATGTACATCCATTTCACATCTGTATGCAGACTGTTGGTTCCTTCTCTCTCAGGCAGACACACTCTGACTTTGTAGGAAGCCCCCAATCAGTCGACTCTTACAACATGCTTTTGGGTAAGCAGCGGGGCTATTCTTGTCTTCCCCCATAATGGAACCCCAAAACTAACATAAGATTTCTGCTATTGATACCATTACTAATACAGAAAACCCACGACACTGGGCTACAACCTGGTATAATTGAGACGACAAAAGAAGAAGAAGACACCATTACTTACTTTTTTTTTTAAATCAGCCATTCCTGAATCTTCTTTAACTCTACCAGACCGATGTCCCGCTTCTGTGGTAATTTCCTAATCCGCCGCTAAACCGCTATACCTCATTGTCAGTATTTTGCGTAAAAACATTGCGCCACAGAGTAAAAATAACTAGCCAATCGTGGTCAGATCTCGTGGATAGTTATTCCAGATGTCCGCCCACGTATGTTTGGAATTACTTTGTGTGGTTTAACGCAAAAAAATTCTCAAAATTTACAATGGAACGAGCAGCTGATGAACCAAGCATTTCAACAGGAAAGTGAAGTAGGCTTTTCAGTCCAACAGGTGATCAATACTTTGGTTGATTCCGACTCTGATGAGTCAGAATTTCATGCAGATTATGTTCCCCAAAGAAGATAAGAAATATTGCCACACCAACTTCCACATTCTTATCTCCATGAGTTACTGTATTCAAAAATGCAAATAATTTACTTTGAAAACTTACAATGTCTACTACTTGTACTTTGTCATGAGTAACATGCAACCACTTGCAGCCATTTTTCTGTATTTTGTTTTCAGCCTGTGGATTCATTACAATAGTTAAAAACATTCTATTTCAACATTTTAAAAAAATTTCCATTATTTCTGTATCTAACAGGAGTGCCTAGGTAAAAGAGCTGTTGCAATGCAGTTGCTAAGATATCTGCATGCTGGCCTCAAGGTTTATGATTCAAATCCACCATGGAAAAAAAAGGGAGTGGGGGAGGGCCAGATTTACTTTCATAAATGACCAAGGCTTTCTAGTCGGCCCAGACCAAAATTGATACATGAAATATCTTAGGAAGCAAAGATAACAGAATTATGTTGACCACATTATCCATTACGCTCCTGTTCATCATCATAAACCACTTTTGCTGTTAAGCGTCGTGGGAAGGAAAAGTTTGCGAACCAGTGCACGCTGTCTGCCACTGGCCATTGCCATGCCGTGAAGGCGTGGTGTGTCTTTAATGTTGTTGATCCATGTTTTCCGTGGTGGTCCTCTTGCTGTTGTAGCTGATCTTTTGAAATGTAGTGCTTGTGATGGTATTTGATCTTACTGCATTCTAACGAGATGGCCAAACCACTTGATCTACTGTTTCTCGATGAATCTAGTACAAGGTGTCGTTCCCACAATTTGTCTGATAGTGTCATTATTCACTCGATATCGGATGGTTAGTTTGGCTGCTTTTCTCAGGCATCTCATCTCACGTGTGGTGATTTTGCGTCTATTGGCTTTAGATAGTGTCCATGTATGGCACTGGTAGCTTAATGCTGCAATGAATATGCTATTTATAATCTGTCTCTTTGCACTCATAGTTATGCTTGGATGTCCATACAGAAATATGGTCTATAGAAATATGGGTTTAGCACTGTATGCCTGATGTGCCAGTAGCATAAGAAAAGGTTCTTCACTTTTTCTAAATTCCTAAAAGGCTGCTTCTTCTGCACTTTATTCCCCATGCCAAACTAACCTATGCAATGCCATCACCTAGTCTCCTCTGTAAGCCACAAGAACAAAGGTGACCTTAACAAGTTTGTTGCGCATCTTTTAAGGATGTTGCAGAAACAACCCCAGCATTTTGTTTAGCTGTTTTTTCTAGACAAATTTTTATCCAGTAGTTTGCCATTGCTTTCTGCGTGGTCGGCTCTCGATACACTGTCGAAACTAACGCAAGGCCCGTAGCTGGGATCAAACCAGGTTCCCAAGCATTACGAAGTGTGTTACAGATGCTGACATATCCACCTAAAACACACTGAGAAAACATTCGAAAATTGTGGGCTGGGAAAAAAGTGCCGAATACCATAAGGGATAAGATAGTCTGGCTGGGGAAAAAAGTGCCGAATACCATAAGGAATAAGATGGTCTGGCTGAGGAAAAAAGTGCCGAATACCATAAGGGATAAGATGGTCTGGCTGGGAAAAAAAGTGCCAAATACCATAAGGGATAAGATGGTGTGGCAGGGGACCATATGAGACACTGCCAAAGAAAACTAAGGTTAAGATGGTGTGATTGGGGACCATATGAGAAACTGCCGAAGATGACAACAGATAAGATGGTGTGGCAGGGGCCCACATGAGAAACTGCTGAAGATGACAACAGATAAGATGGTGTGGCAGGGGGCCACATGAGAAACTGCCAAAGACAACAACAGGTAAGATGGTGTGGCAGGGGCCTACATGAGAAACTGCGGAAGATGACAACAGATAAGATGGAGTGGCGGGGCCATATGAGAAACTGCCAAAGACAACAACGGTTAAGATGGTGTGGCTGGGAGCTATATGAGAAACTGCCGAAGACAACAACGGATAAGATGGTGTGATTGGGGACCACATGAGAAACTGCCAAAGACAACAACAGATAAGATAGTGTGGCAGGGGTCAAATAAGAAACTGCCAAAGACAACAACAGATAAGACGGTGTGGCTGGAGGTCTATGCTTTAAAAGAAAAAAGGTGGGGGGGGGGGGGCTAGAGAATATAGACACATTTTATTTAATATGACAACGATACTGTAAAAAGATACAAAAGTAAACAAAAAGTAGATTAGTGACATATTATAAATGAAACGTGAATGTTGCAGCTATAGAGCCTTTATCAGCACATACAAAAATTTTTTTTTTTAAACCACACGAATCCACAAATATCACTTAACTGAAATATCCTGAAGCAGCCATGTCGATATCTTGGCAGTGGAATAAAGAGACATGTTGGGGCAGAGAATAAATAGCAGGAGAATGCCAGAGGCTGTAACTCAAGAATTTTAGATAAAACCACGTTGACAGTTCAGTTGCCCAGGTCAACCTGGGCGTTAACGTGCCCGAGGTAAAAAGAAAGCTTGCTGTCGCTACAGTGGCTAGATTTAATAGCTGTCATCTCCATTTGGACACACTGGTGATCCTGGAAACTGAAGTGCAGCAGTACTGATTTTAGGGCACCGTTCTGCATATATCTAAAAGATGTTGTGTGAAGCTGACAGTAAAACACTGGAGAATAATTAATTATGGGTGGCAAGTTGTTCACTACGTCAACTGACCACTCCTTTGGTAATCTGAGTTTCAGCTTCATAGTAAACGGGTCACCCCATGCTCCTCTGAGCTAGATGTTGCAGACTTTTAAAATATATATAGTCGGTCTCCTTTTCATTTTACTTTAAAATGGTTACTTATTTCCTTTTTTAAAGCTCTCTACGAGTAAATTCAAGTATAACAGTAAGTTAGAGTGATATGGTTAAGAGACCAGACCGAATGCTTACGTTTTGATTTTGAACGACAATCGTTCTGCCCGAGCAAGAACTGGTGGTAAAGTACATGGGCATTGAATTAATTAAATTTACAACATCGTGTAAAGCTTCATCCACAGAGCCTTTCCTTGAAAGATCTGCATGCTTCAGTCTATCTGATTTCTGCTTGGCAAATTCCCCACAAGAAATCATATTGATTTTAAAGCATGTCTACTCGATCCGTCCTGTGTATAGTAGTATTGTCAACAGTAGAAGTAAAACAATATAAAACACTTTTCTTTATGTCAACGAAATAATCTTTTTAAATTAACAAAATATCCAGCTCTTAAAGATTTAAATACATATACCTCTTTTAAAATAAACTACATAAAAATGCATGTTTAATCAAAACGTATAAATACTAGTAAAAACTATAATTTTAAATTTAAAAAATTATGTTTAATTAGTATTTTTCCCCTTATGATGAGAAAGCGCTACTTTTTACATGCGGAATTCTAAACATTAACAATGCTGGTTTACCTGGCTTCGGCTTGGCCATGTAAAGTTAAACTGAGTTAAAATCCGAAGTTTAAAGGACCGTGATGTATTTCATTAATACACTTATTGATTTTTAGTGTAAACTTATTTCATATTATAGTTTACAAATTGTCCTTGTGATATCTTACACCTGTTGGCTGCTATATAACTGTTTCGGACCACTTCCTTCCTAGCCAAGCTCCAGTAGTGCAGTTTGACCTCGCTCAAAGTGTCTGTCAACTCAACGTGCTATCTGCATTTCTGCTGTAAGTAAATGTGGTCAGTAGAATGTGTTACTGAGCTTTGTTAGCTAAAGGTTTTTCGACATTGCATTGAAATCTTAGCAGAATATGCTGTATGTTACTTATGAATGTAAGCCTGCTAGGAATTCTTGTCTTTAACTCAAAATAACTCATTGCTCATTCTCATCTGTAGAATTGAATTTGAGTGAAGTTCAATAATTATTCAATAATAAATTAGTTAGCTAGTGGTTGGAGGAACATTCAACATCAGTGGTGATGTGTAGATATATGTGTATTCTCATGTGTTCATATATGTGTATTACTGTATTCTTAGTTGTCTAGTTTTAATGCACACTGTATATATATTATATAAATATATATATATATATATATATATATATATATTTATATATATAGGCTCTCCTTTGAATAACGGTCCCAAATGATCTACGCAGAAAATGAACCCAAACAGAGCCTCATTACATCCTGCCCTACATTTAAAAGGTGTAGCTCGGAAAAAATAAGAAACTAAAAGTGTAAGGAAAAGGGAAAAGTCTACTACTTACCGAAAATTAAAACCTTTATTTGTGAAAATTGTGGCACAAAAGTTGCAAATAGTGCGCGAATATCTGTTCTTTCTCGCTGTCCGCCATTCCAACTCAGCACGCCTTGTCCGCGATTCTCGCTCCGGGCGAGACATAATCAGTGCGCGATTTATCTATGCGCATGTCACCTCAGGACAGCTTTAAACCAGCAGCCGCCATGATGGCGCTGGTACTTCTGACAGAAGTAGCTCCTGTAAATTGTAGACTTTTTTCCGGCGACTATAGTGCCACCTCCGAGAGTATCCCCGCGCAGCTAGGACTCAGGAGCAAATACATTGGAGGAAGCTGCGGTAGCTGCTGCTCGTGAGTCCTAGCCATCTAGTTTAGCCCCTTTCGTGCGTAGCGCCGCGGGGGATACTCTCGGAGGTGGCACTATAGTCGGCGAAAAGCGGTCTGCAACTTACATATAACTCGGGCCCTGCTGTAGGATAGCGCTTTCGGGAGTATTCTCGCGTGTCGCTAATTTTTTTCGTCCGTAGTTAATCCTAGTTTTGCCGCCGTGTAATCGCCGTTAAAAAATCTGTTGCGTTTCACGAACATGTCGTGCGCAATTAATCCCACTTTTGACACGATTGAATCGCCGCAAAAGAAATGTGAATTTTAGAAATGAGTGAAGCTCTGTTTGGGTTTACTTTCTGCGTAGATCATTTGGGACCGTTATTCAAAGGAGAGCCTATATATATATAGCTGTATATATATATATATATATATATATATATATATATATATATATATATATATATATATATATATATATATATATATATATATATATATATACACACACACAAACACATCTCACTCTTTCTGTAGAGATTGTCAAGAAAAGATATAAAAGTAAAACCAAACGAAAAGTATATAAGCAAGCTTCACAATATAACAAATACACGAGATTGTGATCTGCATTTCGAGACTATGATACAGGCTGGGTTCAACCGCTGAAAGTATGAAATGGTCCCAGTTTTTTGTTTTTAATCTTGTATCTACCTAGGGTCATAATAATAGGCACTAGACAGTTGTCATAATATGGTAATTTCTGGGGATTGTCTAGAAAAGAGAGACAGCAGGAAAAGGAACTGGCCTCACCTTATATGCCTTTGTCTCGAACAGCGGTTCTCAGCCTGTGGGTCGCGACCCTTTTTTTTGGGGGGTCCCTTTCACAAGGATTGCCAAAGACCGTCGCAAAACATATATTCATTGAAGTTATCAATTAGCAACAAAATAATTGAATAGTCGGAGGTAGCCACAAAATGAAGAACTGTATTAAAGGGTCCAGCATTAGGAAGGTTGGGTGCCACTGGCCTGGAATATCATGTGGAGGCCTAAAACTTCACATCCCAGAAGCAATACCTGCTATGGGATTGTCTTTAAAACTGTCAGATCATTCTTTCTTTATCTTGTTATGCCATTATATGTCACATAGGGCTCCAGTCTATTCCTCCATTCTGTTTTTTTTCTGTGCAGTCAGTTCAATATTTTGGATGAAAATCCAGTCCTATAGTTTGGTGATTCTATGCTAGTTTTTTCTCGGTGTGTGTCCAATTTAGTGCCATCTTCTCTGTCATATAACAGTTGATACTAGTTGTTACCAAAATATTTCGCTCATTTCTTCACTCCTAAATTTTTTAGTCTTCTTCTTAACGTCCTCTTTTACTGCTTTGAGTGTCGAGGGAGATATGTCCTGCTTTGTGCTTTTCTGGCTGCTTTGACCAAAGACACATCTTGGTACTGTAGAGTTTCTCTGATGTTATCCTTCCATCTTGGTCTAGCTCTTGCTCTACGTCCCTCTCCTCTGTTAGTACCAGCATGAAAATAATTTAACTTTTTATATCCTGACAACTTCTAGTTGAAAGTAGTTAAACTCTGTAGAAAATATTACTTTGGATCACAAAGAGTTTTTTTTTAAAGACTCATTTTAAATGATTTAACATAATAGTTATGGGCAGTAGGCAGTAGAAGAGTACTGGCTTTGGACCAACCAGTGAACAGATGGTAAGTTGCCAGGGAGTCAAAGAAGCAATATTGTTTTTGTGTTACCGTAGCCTTTAAGGGAATACAGAGTACTATCACCAGATATACTGTGTATGTTGATAGAGATTGCTAAGGAAAGTGGGCATTGAGCTAGCTACCACACTTGTCCTTAGGTGCAGCATCAAACCACCAAGTTGAAATAGGCCTTCTCTACAAGTGTGGGGCAATGCTGAAGTCCGGATCAACAGTTTACCTCCTTTCTCCTAGAAATATGGTAGTTTATTGTTAATTCACCTGGAGTTCCTGGGAAAGTTCAATATTCTAGGGGTGTTATGGGTTAAAGGGGCATAAAAATTTAAGTTAATATGGATCTGAACTAGATCAGGTTTATCCATTCTAGTGTTTTGTTTTTGAGTGGTTCTTGTTTCCTTGCACGGGTTCTAGTTTCATTGCGCAGATTGTATTTCACTTGCTCACCAGGTCCTTGTGTTTAAACTTGTGACTTATGCTGTTTGTAGTGAAAGTTCATAGGCAAAACCATCAGATGCTAAAGTAACAGCCTGTTACAAAATGCCATTCTATTTGTAGTCTTCTATGTGTGTGAGAGCACATGTGCACACTTTTTTAATCTTAGTGAAATGGACAAATCCTGCTTCTTATTCGGACTAATATTTGCATAGACAGCGAGGATTATAATAAAGTTTTGGGGAAACAGAATTTATGTGATAAACAGAGCTGACAATTTATTAACCTTTTTTGTGCAGAGAATCAGTTTGTTAAATATTGAAATTTTTTCTTTTTTTTTTTTGGGTACACAAAGCAGCTTAGGTAACCGTTGACCTCAATTAATTGGCAGCTTCCCAATTTTCCTGGTGATAGAGTTGTATTGTGCTATAAGAAGGCATGGGACTCATAGTCCATGGGATGGCGAGTGTGACTAGCAAGACCTACCTACGTTAAGAAGAGTCCTCCACAACTGTAGCATTGAAATTCAGGACCATTGTTGTCAGCATCTGTGTTTAGTGTGTTTCTTCTCAGACGCTCAGTTCTCATCCTTTCTGCAGTCATTTCTTCCTTCATTTTTATTTCCTTCCTAGTGTGCCCCTTCTCCACACAACACGGTCCGTGGCATTTTGTTCCGAGTCCACCTCAATACCTGTATCATTCAGTCCCACTTGTACATATCTTTATATTGCAGTAGAGATTGGCCTCGACATCTTCTACCTATCATTAATTTACCATTGACCGTAATACAGGAAATAAAATGGATCCAGTATTCTCATCTCATCTTGATCCTCTGGTAACATGCCGTGCTGAGGTGGCATATCATTTAGGGAAAGGTGCCCGTCTGTGTAAATGGGGATTCTATTATTCCTACTTTTCCATCATTTGTATGGTCAGCCTCTTCTTCGCCTCCCGCCTGGTCTGTACATCATTGCTTGCTGTGGCGTACTGTTTGACACCTGTGTTATATGGCCAAACCATTTAACCTGTTGTCTTCTGATGAAATCCAGAGCTGCCAAAACCCCTATTCTCCTTCGGATTTCATCATACCTGATCTTATCTCTTTTTGTTATATTAGGAGCCCTTTGTAGGAATCTCCTGTCAGTTGTTATAAATTTTTCTTCTCTCTTTTTCTGTCATTGTCCAGGTCTGGCATGGATAGCATAGTGTTGGCAAGAAGATCTTCTTTTGCATTTCCCTTAAGAGAATGGTTGGCATGTCATGTTCTGGTTTTACAGCTAGGCTGCAATATCTGCGCCTTTCTGCCAAACACCTCCGATCTCAGCACACTTCTTATAAGTCACCTTTCATGACCTGGTTGTTGTGGGGTCCGCTCCCTCCCCCACATACTGCC